CCTCTCTCTCTCTCTCTTTCTCTCTCTCTCTCTCTCTCTCTCTCTCTCTCTCTCTCTCTCTCTCTCTCTCTCTGTATCAATATCCTTAACACACACACACATATACATACACACACAGACATAGTATAACCTTTAACTTAAAGAGAATTCTTATATTCTTTCTAAAGCACCGCAACTCAGTTAACCATTCTTCATATTATATAGTATACATACAATTCACTATTTTAATTGTACTGTTTGATAACCCTAATTTTTCAGATTGTTTACTTTTTGGCATTCAGTATTATTTTATATTAATTTCAAGTGTACCACATAGCAGTTAGACATTTGTATAATTTAAGAAATGATCCCTCCAACTAGTCTAGTACCCACCAGGCATTATGCATAGCTATTATAATAACATATTACTTTCTATATTCCCTATGCTGTATTTTATATCCCCATGACTATTTTGTAACTACTAATTTTTACTTCTTAATCCTCTCACCTTTTTTACCCTGCCTCCCAAACTCCTCCCATCACCCCAGTAAATCTAGTACCATCCGATACCACACATAGTTATTACAATATTACTGACTCTATTCCTTATGCTATACCCTACACCCCCATGATTACTTTGTAACAGCCATATTGTATTTCTTAATCCCTTCCCCTTTTTCACTCACCCCCCAACTACCCTCCCATTTCAGCATTGTTTTTAATTTAGAGCACCAATGCTATACTCCCCTACTTGCGTGTACCACACTGGAGTTTACCTACAAAAGTATGATCTATTTTTACTTAGCTTCCCTTTTTTCATGGTTAAAACTTAATCATTTGAGTACATTCTAGTGGAACTTTACTCCGTCAATGTAATAGTTTCAGCAAATCTCTTCAGTTTTTTTGTATGTATGTATGTATGTATGTATGTATGTATGTATGTATGTGTCTATCTATCTATACAACATAGAGGTAAAGATAAAAAATGAACAATAAAGGTTTCATTTCACTATTAGGCAGATGACAAAAATACCAAACAAATGAGATGAGCAAATAGGCCAATATGAGATTAGAAACTTTTTGCTGTATTAGTGAACATATTGAGATACTCAAATGCTAAAAGCCAGATTGACTAACTTTGAGAAATTTGGCTACATTTTTTTCAAGTCTGTATGTTCTCCAAGCATTTAGTTAACACATACTATACTCTAGGAATTTTGCTAGAAATTGGATACCAACATGAATAGCACCATATTTAGGATCTTTGGTAAGGGGGAGGCTAATTTAAGCTACTTCAAGTGTTGCAAGATTATTTTGAGATAATTTTGGGTAAAAGTGAAGAAAGAATCTCACCAAAGCTTGGGAACAGCTGGGCCTCACAGAGAGAGGAGTATATTTTCATAGCCATGAGAGACTCAGTGACTCAAACGTACCTCTAGGGACTAGAGTAACAAGCATTCCTGGAGCTTCACCCTAACGTTATGCTTTAAGGATATTCATTTACATCTTCATTTTTCTTACTCTGTGTTTGTATGCTTCTTTTACCATCTAATTGCTTCATCTTTCACTTTCCATCATGCCAGTTTTCACTTTTCACTACCTTAGAGCTTTTGCCAATGCTCACTTGGCTCAACTCTACTTCCTCCCTCTTAAAGCTCTGCAGCTATTTCCTGGATTCTCACAGTACATCATTTCCCCCTTTGGGTCTGGGTTCAATTTGTGTAATCTTTGCAGGTTGTCTATTTCAAATTTTACAGAAAGAAAGAACAAACCCTTTCATCGTGCATTCTCTCTCTCTCTCTCTCTCTCTCTCCTCCTCCTCCTCTTCCTCCACCTCCTCTCCCTTCTCCGTCTCCTCCCCTCTCCCTGTCTATCTCTCTCCCTTTTGCCAGGATATCTTTGGAAACATTTTTTTTAATTGTGAAAAGGAAAAAGAAAACATTAAAGGTGTCCTAGTTAGCTCATTCATCTGAATTATTTATTATTTCTGCCTCTCATTGTATTGGGCTATTTAAAATTTTGGAGGTTGTAGAAAAGTAATAATAATGGAAATAATCTTTATACATAGTGCATTAATTATTACAGTGGAATGCCATTGATTATTACCCTGTGGACTATGGATAGTTCTATTCTGTATCTATTTATAAATTCATTTCAGAATCTCTTATATCCTGCTCTTCTGATTCTCTTTTGAAAAAGCTGTAATATTTTACTGGTGTCTTCATTAATTAAGGATCTAAATAAGTTATTTAGCTGGTTCATTTTATACTTGTATGAGAGTCATGATATCATTTTGTTTTAAAATTTATCCTTTAACACTTTTTTTTTTAAACCAGTCTCAGGGGTCACTGCCTAGACTTTGGAGAGGTCACTATCACAGTCCAAACAGCTGTGGCTGGGAGGTAACCGGGAAAGAGGATACTGATGGCCAGATTGTATAGAACCTTGTAGAAAATTTTAAAACTTTGACATTCATTCTGAATGAGAAGGGAAGCGGAGAAATGCCAAATTGATTGGCACTGTAAAAGGATCGCTCTGAATGTGGTTTTGATAGGAAACAGGAGGTCAAGGCTAGACGCAGGGAAATCAATGAAAAGGCTATTGCAGTTATCTGGATGAGAGGTGATGATAACTTAGACAATCAACCAGGTAGCTGATGGTAAAATAGTGCAACTTCATCAGATTCTGGATACCTTTTGAAGGTTGAGCCAACAGAATTCACTTACTGAGTTAGATGCAAGGCATGTGAGAATGAGAGAAATTAGGTTATGTCAAGACATTGGACTTAAGAAATTGAAATGGTGGAGCATTGAAAGAGTGTGAGGGTGGGTATTTTGCCCATGTTAAGTTGAACAAACTCATTGAATTTTCACGTCTAGATGTGGAGAAAGCCAAGCTGAGGAGAGAAACCTGGGCTAAAGATATAACAGTGGGGGTCATTAGCATCTATACAGTTTAACCCCAAGCATTTGTGGAAATACACAAAGACAACCCAAATGAGAACAAAGAGAGGCAATTCATTGAGAGCTTACAGTATTAAGGCAGTCAGCTACCATCATGCCTTTGAGGCAGACGGGGGAATGGGAAAGCTTTAAAGTAGGGGAAGACAAGGAAGGCTTCCGAAGTGCTTTAATTGGAGGTTATTTGCATAGGGAGGCTGTATGTGTGTGCTAACTACAAGGGGGGCCTCTTAGGATATTGGTCAAGGAGATCTGATACCCTTCTCTGTTTGCTATTGAGTTGGAAGGGAGGAGGGGTGGTGGCGTAATAGCAAGCATTTGTTAACCAAGTTTGATCTTTCTGGGGCAATTGCTGCAGAGATTGTTTGCCTTCCAGGACATCTTATGTAGGTCAGGGTTCTAGTGTTGTATGTGGTCTGGCCATTGTCTGTTCGCATGTTCAGCCTCTCACACTGGATAAGATGGCCATGGGAGTTAATGTAGGTGGAAAAGTAAGAGTGGAAATGTGAAGATTACATCCATGTCAATGAGTACAGAATGATTTTGTTGCTCCTCTGGACGTGGCAGGAGAATGGTTTTCACGACTCCTGGTGGCCATTTCAAATGCTATGTTTTTATATGTTTCCCATGATGCTTGTGATCCAAGTTGAACTCCACTCTCCAGGAACACAGCTAAGTTAAATATCGTGGTTGACTTGTTTAAGTAACACCTGTAGTTAAAAAAATAAGCAAATAAATTATGTCTAAATATTGCCCATTAGATTGTTATATAGAGATGCCTTCACTGTGAATCAAGGTCATTTCGAGAGAATCAGGAGGTTTTCTAAAGAGGGGGAAAAAAATGGGGGCACCATCAGCGTCATAATCGATTCGCGCTGCCATTGTAATTTTGCCCACTTTCATCGCTTTTCTTCTTTCATTGCATTCTCTTGTCAGATTTCTCTTCCCTAAACCTGCGCCCTTCTTTGAAAAGATGGGTTCCCATTAACAAAGCCATGTACTTTAAATTTTAAAGGACTCTCTGCGGGGCGAGGTGCTCTACCAGCCCTCTGGCACAATGCTACGTTTAAACACTGTGCAACTGTTGTGTGGCCTTTTACTGTTGCTCCTTAGCTCTCTGCTCTCCAGCGCTGCAGCTTTTCATTAGCATTCTGGGCATGATCTATCGTGTTGGCATCCCTGTCCTTCCTTTTATTACCGTGCCCTTCCTTTTACCCCCTTCTCTTTTGCTTCTGCTTGAACCTTTTGTTATCCGGCTTCTTTTACCCTCCTTGTCTTGCTTGCTTGTCCTTTGTCTCCGCCTGTTATGATTTATGATTATGCCCAGCCCCTGCCTTCTTCAGGCCATCTGTTTCCAAGTGAGCTCCCTACTTTAAGCCACAGTCAATACTTTGCATAACTACTTGGCTTTATTTTGCAATTGAATTTTTAAGTAGAGCACTGAGGTAACTCTCATTTATAATTATATTAAATGCACACAGGTCCTTTAGTGTGATAGTCTTCCACCATCAAATGCTGTCCCCTTTTTGAAAATTTGATTTTAAGAATTTTAAGTAGAAATGATTGTCCATTTCATTAAGAATCATTTCCTTTCTATAAGATGTTACATACTGATCGTTCTCCATTAAAGAGATTCAGGAAGGGCTTTTTATTATTTAGTTAGTTTTTTATTTTTAGATAAAAGTCAGGGGAAGGGGACTTATAGTGAAAGGGAAGGCCTGCTATATAGGGAGAAGAATCAGGCAGACTTAGCATCTCAGCTAGAAATTATCCGGTTGCATGTAACACAAAGCAATGCCAAATAGCTTCAGCTAAAAATAAGATTGCGAGGGGATTTATTATGAGAATGGATGGGTGCAGCTTACAATACAAGAACAGAAATTAGAACCGTAGAAGAGTCAGAAGTAGGAGGCGTTCATTGTTTCTCGTCACATTTATTTTACTCTTCTCTCTTCCACTTGTCTTTCTCCACAAGGAAGACAAAGGCTACCCTGCAGATCACACTTTCAAAAAGTCAGAAGACACTGAGACAGGAACCTCTCCTGCAGGAGAGTGTCAGAGGGAAGGCGCTCTGCTTGGCCTACCTGAACCAACTGAGGCCCCTTAATAATTGTTGGAGCGGTCGGATGCGTGACACGCCACAATTAATCACCGCTTCCAGGGAAGTTGGTCTTCAACACTCACTAATTGTTTAACTTGGAACAACATGCTCCGTCTTTTTAGGATATCATTTTCTCATTTGTAAAGTAGGGATAATAGAACCTACCACATTAAATAAGATGACCAATAAAAGCCAGCCGTTACTATTGCCAAAAGCAAAGCATTAAACGTATCTTATCCTAACATATAATTATGTGGAGCACATTCTAATTTGGTCTACCCAGGTACCTGATCTACAGTCTCAGCTTTCAGAAAGTGCAAGCAGCACTTACCCCTTAATGTTATGACTATGCACGCAGGGATAGCTATACTAACAGATGGCTATGATTGCCTAGGTTACCCTAAGTGCTACAGACAATAAGGTGAGGATTAAGTCTTCCTTAGAGCAAGTATATTTGAATAATAGCTACAGATAAATGGCACCCGATAGGAGGAAACAGACTAGGATGTCCCTTATGGGTCTGTGTTCATAAATGTATTCCTGGAGGAAATTATTAGGAAGTCCACGAAGGTTATAAATTGGAGGCTCATTTCGGATGTTCAGGGAGATCAGAGGCATTTCTAGTGCTTGAGGTAGATTGAGAACAGCATTGTAAGGGAAGACTTTGGAAAGGCATAATTAAAAACAGAGACTTCAATATTTTTAGAAAAATTATAGAGGATTTGCTTACTGACTAGATGTGAATAATGTTGGCTATCAGAATCTAGGTTACATGAGGGTTACTGATTTCAGATTTGTAGTAGCTGTTAATACTTCAGGAGGATATTGCTGGATGAAATGCATTGTGCGTGTTCTAAAAATATAAATTGCTGTATCAATTCCTGATGTTTTTATCTGAATCAGGATATGGTTGTAGGAGAATATGAGTTCTGTCATGTTGTAGTAACAAAGAACACAAAAATACCCAAAGCATATTGTGCATTCCTTAAATGTTAATAGTGATGTAAAACACACTGGATTAAATAAAAATAGATGGATTTACTGCAGGACTTCGCAGAGACTTTAATATGCCAATGTGCATTAGAAACTCTAAGGCAGGGATGTACAGTAAGCTGAATTTCCAAGACACATTTGAACTCAGTGCAACATTTCACAACAAACATTTTGAGACTTGGTATTCTGACGACTTTACTTCAGGAAACGTAACTTCATTACATTGTTCCTCCATATTGCAGTATATTCATTCCCAACATAGTAAAATATATTCAGCACAGTGCATATAAAAGCAGGATGGTTTTATACATACTTCATTAAAAAGACTTGAACTTTTTCTGTACAATATTTTTTGAATTAAATTAACACTAATGGTTACAAACCCATAACATTTGGAACCTTTTGCATAGATGGATTATTTTATGTGTCCGACAGTGACTCTAACACTGTGATATAGTTGCATTCTGTGTAGGTGCACAGATATTATGGACTCATTTACTGCTATTTGTCTTATTCTACCCAGCATGCAAAATTTTTTCCTAAGTGTAACCACAATACCATTTTGATTTTTGGGCCCAGAATATACAATGACCAAGTTTCTGTTATATTTTTAAATTACTCTCATTATTATAATTTTCCCTCGTGTGCTTTATTATGTGCCAAAATTCATTGCTATCATGATTTTACTTAATGCTTTGAGTTTTGTGTTGTTTACAATTCGCATCTGAAAATTAAAAATTATTCCACAGAATGTATTTAATATTTTGGTCTCCTGTCAGATGTGCCCCCTGAAATCCCTTAATTTTGCATTTTGTCACAGAAATTTGTATTGTGTATATGACATTTAAGTAGGATTCAGTGGTACTTGGGAAACAAAAAGACAAACAAAAAAAATCCATGTTGGTGTTCTTAACTTTTAAACATAACCACTGGTGCTTACATCGCTAAATAAATGTTTTCTTTCTTTTTATATTGTCTAATATAAAATACTTCTAATGAAATCTAGGAAATGGTCCTAAATTAAAGATATTTAGTGAAATTTAATATTGTTTCTTTCCATTTTTGCCTTAGGGCTCCTAAGAGCTCAAACATGGTGGCTATGAGATCAGGAATTAACTTACAACTTGGGGCCAACCAAGGGGAAGGTGGATTCAATTATAGTGTTAGGTCCGCAAATGCCTCCTTCCTCTGTTGAACTGATGTGATTGTTTTTACTTAAACCATTGGTACTTCCATTAATATTTGCCCCCTTATTTGTTGCTAATTATGTTCTGGCTGAATAACTTTCCTATAGTTCCTTAGAAAAAGACCTAGAATCATTTTTAAGTTACAATATTTGCATTCTGATGCCAAAAAACTTCACTTATAGATGGTCAGAAAAAGGTTTAGAATCTTCTTCAAATTATTTATTTAAACAAAAGTGATAGAAAGGTTTAGGTGTTTTCTTAATTAATATCGTCACCTTATATGAAGCACTTATCAAGCTTCATATTCATATTTAATCCATAATATTAGTATTTAGAAAAAATGAGAGGTATTAAAGACTTGGTTAAGACCACCTAGCTGTGGAGTAGCAGAGCTGGGAATCAAAACCCATCTATAGTTACTTGTATATTCAGGACCAAATCCAGTCTGTTAACCCACCTTTCCTTTAATTATATCTGAAGAATTTATTATTGAAATCTACATTGTATAATGGGTTTTGGTTTGAAGATAAGAAGTGAAAAGTTAAGCCATATTAACAAAGTTTTATAAATTTAGATAAAAACAAAATCTGCAGATAGGAGATAACTTAACAACTTTGTTTTTCACCCACCCACTAGTCTGCAGTTTGTCTGAGCTAAGATCTAGGCTGGCACCTGGAACAGTCTCTCACCCACCATCTAGGGAAGGTACATCATGCTTCTGGTCAGGTACTACTAAGGCTTTGGGAAGATAAACATAATTCTGCTTAAGAAAATATTAAAACTCTCCTTTTACACTTCAGGCTTAAATGCATACTTTCTGTCACCATAGGATATGCTTAAATCTGGTATTTATTGGGGGCCAACGTTTTTTGGTGTGCTTTTGTCTCAATGTAAAGCTTGAGCCATCAAAAAACCATGTCTAGTTGTTATTCCCTCTGTAATTGCTTATAATTCTCATGACAACTTAATCATAAGCTAGAAATTATCCTCTGACGATTGCTTTTTTACCTTCTTTCATCTTTTAACACTGAGTAATTTTAAGATAAGTGATAATAGGAAAACATTTGATTATTTTTAATTCTGTTATTCATAGTTGAAGATATACATATGAGCATGAGTTACTTTTCTAGCAGCATGTCAAAATGGATTATCGAATATGATTCAACTGCATGTGGGGCCCTAGTTCAAAATCCCACCTCAGCAGGCTATAGAAGGAAGATTTTTCAATGCTATTTAACCCCTCTGAACCTCAATTGGCACATCTACAAAAACTTGACTCAACAGGATTCTTGTGAAGTACAAATAACGCAACATATATGAAAGCACTTTATAAAGTGTTATATATAACACCTTCCATTCTAGTTTGAGTAGATCTTAAAATAAGCTAAATATGAATCCTGGCTCTCATACTTACCTTTTAATTTTGCTAAGTATATGAGCCCCAATGTACTCATCTAAAAATGCAATTTAAATATTTATTTTCAGGGTATTTTGATCCTAAGTTATTTTAAGTAAGTACAATCATGAGAAGACAATTATTTTTCTTTATTCTCATTACTATATCAACATCCAAATCTAATTCATGTTCCCTTCTTTAACCAGTGCTTTTTTTAAGTAAAAGACAACATATAGTTATTAAAGTTGTTAAACTATGAAAAAAACAATGGTTTATGTTTCAATGATTCTGATTATTTTGATCACTGTGAGAATACCAAAATGATCTCTACATGCTCTATTTGAGAAGGATGAGTCTGTGTAAATAGATGACTTATTTATACATTACATTGGACATCTCAATATGCACATAGGAGATATATAGGAAGTTTTGTCCTGAGAATCAGATCTAGGAAAAATAGATGTTAACGTTGGTATATGTGCCAACTTAGGAAATATCACAATAAAGAACATTTAAGAGTTTGAGATGGACAAATGACACAAAAACTAACTGTAAGCTGCTTGTAAAACTTTGTATGACTTAAAAACATGCTGTGAATATTAGGGTCATTTAAACAGCAGATAGTAAAGAAATTGAGGTTAATAAAACTCTAAAGCAAAGTTGCACTCCTATGCCAGCCATATCCTACACTGCTTAAATTTTAGCTTCTTTTTATTTTTAAAGTTGCCATAAGGGGCTAGTAACTGGAAAACACTTTGAAGAGTCTTGTAAGTAATTATATAGTATATAATTTTATGCAACTTAAGCTTTAAGATCAGAATGTGCCCATAAAATAATAGAACAAAATGGTTCCCAGACTAGGACTATCATATTTAACCATAATTAGGAACAGATTCAGGTTTTGTGGGGCCTGAAGTTTACATTGGAAGACCTATTTCCAGAAAATTTGCAAATTTCATAAAAAATATATTACCATGTGAACACTTTGTTTTGTCTTCTCTCAGGCCTTGAAAGATACTTGTTAAAGTGAGGTGTTTTACGCTTCTTAAACTTCAAGATTATTCTACCACTGAATTTAGCAGCTTGAGGATGAACATATGTAAAAAAAAAGGTACATATCAATAAAAACGGTGGGTCAGCCGGGAAATTTTATAACCAGAATTTCTGAGGTAAATATTGACATTGCACATTCAAACAATGTCACGAAGAAGAATCATAGCTAATAGATTTGAGAATTTGAGTTTTGTCACCAAAACTGCCTGTATTGTGAAATGGGTCCACCAGGCCATTTTAGAGTCTGATTCCTGGTTTATAAAGCCAAGATTTGATTAATTCCCAGCCAAGCCTCTTCATACACCTCCTCTCTCCACCCTCACACCCTCATCCTCTGCTTACAGGAAAAGGATGAAAAAGCAAAATTCATCAACCCCTTTTGGTCTCTTCCATAATTTTTGTTATAAATTAATAAACAGACCTAATGATTACATA